ACCCGCCCCTTCCGTCACGGGCCCCTCCTCTTCCTCCCCCCCCAGACCCTCGCTTCATTAATTCCGCGTGTCGGTTACAGTCTCAAGTTCGGAGAGGTGCTTGGAAATACAAAGCAAGCACAGTCACCCCTTGGTCCCCAGGGCATGGGTTCCAGGACCTCCCAGTCCCAGATGGAAACTCAAGTCTGAGCATGTTCACGTCCCTCATAAAACAGCATCCCGTTTGCAAGCGAGCTGTGCACATTCTTGCATATACTTTTTTATTTATTTTTTGAATCAGGGCCTCACTATGCAATTCAGACGGACCTCAAACTTGCAGCAATCCTCCTGCCTCAGCCTCCTGAGTGCTAAGATGACAGATGTCTGTCACCATATACTTTAAAGTTCAAAACATCTCTAGATTACTTGCGGTACCTAGTGCAATGACAATGTTATAAAAATACTAGAAAGGAAGAAACCATAATAAAGAAAAATTCTGTCCATGGTCAGTACAGATGCAATTAAAAAAAAAACCAAATATTTTTTGCTCCGTGGCCGGTTGAGCCTGTGGCTGTGGACCCCATGGGCACAGGGCCTCCGGCACCTGTACTGACAGTGAAGCCACGATCTAGGCCAGGTTCCCACCAACAGCTGTATCCAGCTGTTTCCTGCAAGGGCACTGTTGCCTGGGTGCCGTTCTGATGCCTGTTTTACAGAAGGTAGGGAAAAGGGACTCACAGAAGTTCCAGCCCCTTCCCAGGACCACGGTGTCACAGGGCTTACCTGAGCCTTACTCAGCCACTAGCCGCTATGGCTGAATCCAGAGGGACCCTCCCGGGAAGAAAGACAGTTTCCGGGGGTGCAGTGCGTGGTGCGAAAACTCAGTTTCCCCAGCAGGGAGCATGCGATGGAAGGAAATTCAGGTTTCAGGGAGGTGGCCTGGGAGTGGAGTGACCAGGGAGGGCTGCAGGGAGTGCTGGCCTCAGGAAGGGCCTCGAGGGACCAGGAAGGTGGGGGAGCCAGAGGAAAGGTGGGGTGGGAGGAAAGAAGCCCGAAGCAGCTCTAGGAGGAGCAGGTGGCTGAGGGTGGCCGGATGCAAGAAGGCAGAATGGCTGTGGCCGGAGGTGGGTCACGGCCCTGGGGGTCCGGGCGCTGCTCTCTCCAGACGGCGGCCGCCTGCAGCATCCTGGGCACGTGCGGCAGGCCCTTCTGCAGGCTCAGCTGAGATGCCGCCCTGGTGTCCCTGGCCCTGTGTCCGGCCTCCTCCTCTGCACAGAGCAATGATCTGGAGTTGTGGGCTGGAGCCCGGAGCAAGGTCTGTGTCAGCCTGGGGTCTCCACAGGGACACGCAGCGGAGTATGTGTAACTGCTGACGGCTCAGTCGGAGCGGCTCATGGGCTCGGAGGCGGAACAGCCCCACGGTGGCCATCTGCAGGCCGCGAGCCCAGGAGACCAGTGGTGGCTCTGTCTAAGGAGGAGAGGGACGAAGCACGCGGCCCCATTCGGCCCCCGGTGGGCCAGGCTGCGGGTCCCAGTCCCAGGGCTGAAGAATCTGGAGTCCGATGTCCACAGAGAAAGGCACCTGCTCCTGAAAGGCTGAGTGTCCACTCATGAGCTGCCCCCGCCTCGCGTCTCTGGGCTTTTCCCACCCAGCGCTGGCCCACACTCCGCCCACCTAGGAGACCAACTCACCAACACACTCAGGAGTGTGCATCACGAACTCGCTCGCTGGTTCCCAGTGCAGTCGAGTGACAACCAGGACTAACCGTGACGGGCACCGAAGAGGGACTGTTGGGGTCTCTCTGGACACCCCTTCTCTGTCTCCTCCATTTACTTCCCAGGGGCCCGGAGTATCCAAAGATGCCTGGCGCGCCCTGAGCTTTTGGGAATCGACTCTGCAGGGTGTGGTGTGGGCCGTGGCTGAGCCCTGTCCCCCTCGCCCTTGGGACCAGACTCAGAGGCTCAGGGAGTCTTAATCTCTTAATTCTCTTTTCTCGCACGCTTCTTATGCCTTGGGTTCATTTTTTGTGGAAAAAAAAAAAAGATAACGACCTCATTTCTTGGTTCTGCCTGTGGACCACCATTAGAGGGGACCCCTGGAAGGGTGCTGGTCTCAGACACACCTGCACCACACCTCCTCCTACAACTGCCAGGAGCCTCAGGATGTTTTTGTTCCACTTTGGGGACGGGAGGCTCAAGGGGGCAGCGCCAGTTATTAGGACATTCTTGGTTTGAATCAGAGCCCGACTCCCTAGGATTTGTATTTATGAGCACTACTTTTATCGGGACCAGGTATTGAAGTTAGCCCCTCTTTCTCTTGGTGGCCTTTTATATGTAATAGCAAATGGAGTAATTGCTTTTCAAGAAGCAACTGTTGGGTGCTTTCCGTACATCTGCTGCAGTCTGTAAAGTGGCCTCAGCTGGGGCACCTGGGTCCCACGGCCCCTCCTGCCCCAGCCGGCAGCCTCTGGTCTTCGAGGGGGAACTGTGTGCTTCTATGGGGACGCAGGGGACCTTTCCCGCCTCTGCAGTGATTGGCTCAGGGTCTTAGTCCCTTTTCTCATTCCTGGGACAGAATACCCGACGCCCACACGTTAGAGGAGCAGAGGCCTATTTTAGCTCACAGTTTGTAGCGGCTTCAGCTGGCTCCAAGACAGGGCAGCCTGGCAGAGGGGCATCTCAGAGAAGAAACAGACCATGGCAGGGTAGGCAGGAGGTGGCACATGCTCACGGCAGGGATATAAATATCTCCAGGCCATGCCACACAGTCAGCTGTAAACCCGTCAGTGGGCTAATCCAGTGTCACCCATCACCCAGTCACCTCCCCAAAGCCTCACCTATGACTATAGGAGGCTTTGGGGAGAATCTAGATACAAGATATAACTCTGAGGGATGGGCACGTGACCACTGTTGGTCTAATCAGAGGAACTCTTGGGACTTGTGCTGGGACAAAATTTCTTCCTACAGGAATTGGCGGAGCTGTAGAGCCAGGAACAGGTGCAACTTTCAGTGTGGGTCAGATGCCCAAGGCTCCCCACTTCCTCATAACCTGCGTCCCTCTGCAGCCACACTATTCCCCAAGTGTGCCACATTTCTGCCACAGGGCCTTTGCACTGCTGGCTCTCCCTAATGCTCTTCCCAGATAGTCATGTGATTTATTTTCTCAATTATTTTCCCTCCTGCTTAACTGTTTTGCTGAACACTCATCACTGCTTAGCACTCCACAAATTTATTGTCTTGTCAGTCTACCTTGGGGACCACAGACCCCAAGAGTGCCGAGTTTTCTGCATTTAGGCCCTTGAGGTGTCTCAGGCACCGGCTCTGAGGAGCTGCTCAATAACGCTGATTGAGTGAACTTGAGGAGCCAATGAGGCGCGAGGACACGAACCACAGGCAGGACACTGGTAGACACCTGGGGAGCTGGGGGAGTGGCCAGGTCCACGTGCAGGGCAGGGCGTGGGGAGCTGGCTCGTTCACTCACTCTGCGAATGGTTTGCGAGCACTGCCGAGGGTCACTGTGGGCCCCAGGACACCGTGTCACCTGGAGGGCGGCCCCGCTCCAAGCAGCCTACATTCTCATGGCGGACTCAGAGCGCCAGAAAGCTGTGCTTGGCTGACCACGAGGAGGGGGCCTAGGAGCCAGGAGCAGCAGAGAGGACCCCAGCCTGGAGCGGTTGAGAGAGGCTCCCTGAGGAGGTGCTGCCGATGAATCACTTTTGGCTGAGTGAGAGGGGAGGGAGGGAGGAGGAGGAGGAGGGGGG